AAAGAGTATTGAGTGGAATCAATGCCTTTGAATGATGGTGTTGGCAAAGAGTATTGAGTGGAATCAATGCCTTTGAATGATGGTGTTGGCAAAGAATATTGAGTGGAATCAATGCCTTTGAATGATGGTGTTGGCAAAGAATATTGAATGGAATCAATGTCTCTGAATTACGGTGTGGGGAAATGGTACTGACTATACCAGTGTCTTAGGCTGGGTTCTCTAGAGAAGCAGAGTGAAGCCCGGGTCTCTTGGAGTTGTTAGGGCCCATCAAGTCAGTTCCGCTTCAGAGCAAGCCATTCAGTTCTGCATCATTGTCACAAGGAAGATTTAGCTCAAGTTCATAGTGAGTGTGTTGGTAGCAACTGTCGCCAAGTCTGTAGGTCAGATATGAAGCTGAATGCTTTTCCGAACTCCTCTAGCCGCCACAGCAGATGAAGCCAGGATTGAAGCCAGGTCAGAGTGCTGGCTCATTCTCACTTATACCTGGAAGTCTTATCAGACAGATTTTCTTGTTGTTCTGGTCATTCAAGTTAACCTCATTATTCTTTACCAACACAGTTATTCAATGCTTCATTTCTCCTTTGCTTCCTTAGTCAGTGCCCATTGTCCACAGGCATACAATGTTTTTGAAAATAGCAGGGCTTGACGCCTGTACACATCTATTTACACAACATGAAACGTATAAAATCCTACTTGTGCTTAGCACAATATAACTCACACACCTCCAAGTGAAAGGGTGCTAGCCCTGTTTACTTCTAATACCTTATAAGTGGAAAAAATGAAAACATTTTGAGGCACACTTACAAAGAAGATGTATTCATGACAACGGCAGTCTTCCTTGCTGTCCCAAGTTACGTAGTCAGAGCTGGTCTTTAGAACTGCTTTCTTCCACCACCCATTCAGTATCTCCTTTGTCCTCTCCAATCACCTCAGCTGGTTGTAGTTCTTTGCCTGGTGGGGTGGGTCAACCCTTCATTCCCGAAGGATATTGACCATTGCTAGTTGTGTCAGAATTGGGGTTCTGTGGTTTTCCATTTACATTAGTCACAGGGCATGATGAGCCCACGATGAAGCGATGACCTAAAGCATCTCCCATCTCCCAGGTTTACTCTTCTTTACCTTTGTTATGTAACATCAAATCCGTTTTCCCCTCGGTAACCAGGATCAATCACCCCAGCCAATGGTGTCACTCCCTTTGACTGTTTACCCAGAACCATGAAGAGCTCAGGCTTTGGGGCTGTTCTTAACTTCCGATTTCATGGAATCGGTGTTGCGTCTCCAAGTGGTAGTGTTCTTCCTTCCAGAACCGAGACTTCCAGACCCAAAGAGCAGAGGTCACAGGGCAGGAAGCAGAAATTGAGTGGCTCCCAGGGAGTTACCGTGAGTGGTGCCAGTCCCGTTTCCACCCCTTGGTTCCTAGACTCAGGAATCCTGGTTGTTGGAGAAACAACATCAACTATCGGATGTTGCTTTGGAGCCTGTACAGCTTCCTGGAGAACATTGCCCGAATCCTGGAAGGAATTGCCACATATCTGACACAGTCGTTGTGTCCCCTATGGCTGTTCTCCTCACTCTCAATACAGTTGCTTCAGGATGATGGGAAACCTTGTAAAGACCATTGAATTCCATGAGCCTGGGTCCATTGCCTCACACATTTGATGTAAAGTGAGTCTCCTGCGCTTGGGCAATACAGGGTGAGATACCAGGCTGGTGGATGAGGCATTCATTAGTCCATGGGTGGTATTTTGGCAGATGCATTGTGTGCAAGGAAGGCAAATCTGTATTGTAAGTATCACTTTCAGTAAGACCCAAAGGCTGCCTTTTCCAGGATGGAGGTGGTCTGACGGTGTCAACCTGCCAGCAGCTCTATGCTGATCATGCTGTGAATGGCTCCACATCACAGGGTCGGGTCAGTGTTGAGCTCTGCTGTTAACAGATTGAGCACTGTGGTAGTTACATAAATGCACGTCACTTTGAAGATATATGTAAAGGTAGACGAGGTATTCAATCTGAATTATGTCACATCCTGATGGTGTCTCCTTGTAGGCATGGCCTTCTTATAAAGAAGGCCCGGGGAACCTCCCGTGGGAAACAGAACCAGGAAGAGAGTGTACGCGGACAAAATCTCTATGTTCATATGTTAAGAAGTCTGGGCACCTGGGCTCCCATAGAAGGAGACCTTCATGTTTGTAGGTTGGAGATGTGTTTCAGTCACCTTCTCCTAAGTAAAAGTTATTCTCCCCCAAAGTCCCCCCATTATAATGCCAATCTTAAGGTGCTTGCAAGCACATGGTTTCTACTATATACTCTTGAAAGTCAACTGCCTGAAGGCTACTTGCCCGAAGGTTGTCTGCCATAGAGAACAATCAGAGCCAATTGTCTGTCCCACCCTAAGTATGGCCCACTCTCTTCCGATAAGGATCATAGATTGCTCCCCTGGAGAATAGCTCAGGGGCACCTAAGGTCAAATCAGCTAAAAGACAACCAACGTTAGGCTACCATCTTGACTCTAGCATTGGCCCATCTTGTTACTTATATACCTTCCTGTCACAGGATGCCTCTAGTACCTCCTCTTCCTATTCATGTATACCCCTAGTTCGTCCCCCTCATGTTACGTGTATAACTCTAATACAACCCCTTCCTGTTAGGTATGTGCTTATTGTGGTTGGCGTGCCTGAGATTATCTAGGCTCATGAGAGAATACTGCCTCATTCTCCTCCAGTCACCACGGAAGAGGTGAGCCCTTGCATGCTTTGCCTCCTGTCTCTTTAATTTACCCCTCAATTACACAACCTCCCTCTTGGACCTATTCGGTTGTGGGGAGGCTGGTCACCCAAAACCTCTCCCTCTCTCTCTGCCTTGACCTTCATGCTTGATGGCCACCCACCCAGATTGCTAATGAAGCCCTGCCGTGTTTCCACCGACCTGGGATCCACAGGACCTTGAACACACTGGCCTGTGATCTTCCTGCACTCTGCACCATTGCACATGGCTGCGTGAGTCTGAACAGGGACTTATGGGCTTGCGTAGGACTGGGGTGGTATAGTTTCTTAATATATAATTACTTCTTGATATAAAGCTCTTTCTTACACACATATGCTTGTCACCAGATTTGTTTGCTAGTTATTCCCACCTAACAGAGGCATTAGAGTGGCTGTCAGCTTCGGTGAGGAGAAGCTCGTGTTGCTGAGGCCAGGCATAAATGCCATCCCTGTCACCATGGCCACTTCATTCATGAACCCATTATTCAATAGCAGGAGGGACTAGGGAAAGATATCTGATTTCCACAGAACATGACATTCAATCAGCACCCCTTAAAATCTTTCACTGCTGCAAGTCCCTGTTCGGTGACCATACAAATGAGACAAAAATATCTTTACTTCTTGGGCCTATTCAGAGAGACCTATCCATCAGTCTCTTCCTCGCACCTTATTGTCACCCCTTATTTTAATCATGTTCCTTTCATGATTCAGTCACCCATTGACCACAACCCATGAAGGAGTACACCGTTGCCTATCT